CACCTTCCCAAGTAGCTACAGTGTTAGAAAAGGATGGAAAAGGTGGAAGACAATGAATGTAGTCAAGTCCAAGAAAACAAAAAGCAAACAAACCAGAGGATCTTGCTGGGAAGATATATGCTGCCCTCTTTCACAAGCAAAGATCTTCCTGTGCATCACTTCACACTTGATAGCTCATCATTTGACAGCTTTCAAATGAGAAACAAAACAATAAATTAACTTCTTTGTAGTGCTGCTTTGTCAATATCCATGGAAAGTGCCTCTTGCACTTTGACAGAAAGCATTGTCCAGGGTATTAAGAAGGCAAAGGTGTTCATTTAGGAATAGTGAGAGCTGTACACTTGCTCAGCTCTAAAAATCCAATACACATACACCACAAGAAGTACAAAAACATTGCACATATCTTTTAAAAAATGGGACAACCAGTGATACCCATTTCAATATGTTGCTTGGGCACTTTGAATGGGCTGTCTCATTGAAAGGGCTGTCACTGGCAATCAGCTGGAGTTTTCAAAAAGCAATACTGCAGTGGGGGAGGGAAGGGCAAATGGAACACAAGTTGCAACAACCACAAAAGCTGTCATAGCTTACGTGGAGGAGACCAAACCACTGATGTTGGCTCCAAAGTGTCCCAGCCACTTGATAGTCACTGGCAGTGGCCCAGATTAGGAGCAATGGCTTTCTCAGAAATTGACTGGCAATTGTGTGTATTAAAAGCAGGCCCTTGGTTTCAAGAATTCCAGATTACAATTCACCATTATTTGCTTCACAAGATTACTAGGTCAGTCATACAATCATTGTAAAGTGATTACAAATACTCAGCTACATAATAAATAAAAATCATTGCATGTCAACTGAACTTAGTATCTTCCTGTAATACTAAACACCACAGTTTATAGGCATATTCCTAAGAGTCACCATTTGTTATACAATGGTACTTAGAACAAGTGTGGGAAGGCAGGAAGTACATCTGAGGGAAAAGAGCTGTTTTTATTTACATGATTCTTCCCATGATGTGGTAGCCATACAAATCATTTAATACAAAGTGCATCTTTCCTATGTAACCTTAGGATTAGATGTGAAGTATAGTAAGAGAGAAAATGTGTGATCCTTGTGGTGGACTAAAGCAACGTTGAAAAGGGAAATTCAGGACTTTATCAATTTACAGGCCCTTCTTCCTTTCCTGCAGAAGCACACATTGTTGCACCTTCACCAGTATGTGCTGTGAAGACTTGAAAAGGTATGAAGTATTTATTTGTTTCACTTTTATTTATACCACCCAGTAGCCAAGGCTCTCAAGCAGCACTGTATTGTGCCAGGCTCCTTCACAGATCAGTGCCCATATGGGACTCCATCGCTCCGGGGAAAATGGAGACTACCACCCCACTCTCCACTGACTTCCATCTCTTAAGTTTTTCCCATCTGCTTTCCCCAAATATTTTTAAAGAACTGATAGCTGCACATTCCCAGAAACCCCTTTTACCACTTCATACCAATGGTATCCCCCATTTGAGAGTCTTTAAAGTTTCTGTGCCAGTGTCTCAGTCCCAACTTATTTTCACTGATAACAAGCTTCTAATTCATGTCCCACCAAAAAGTCTTATCTTGTCCCCAGATTTCCTGACAAATTTTAGTTCACTCACATCCTGAAAACACAGGAGTTTCTTTAGAGGAAAGTGATCAAACATGATGTATAACACATAACCACAATGCTTTCTTCCCCAAGCCCTAAGCGGGGAGAGAGTTGCCGTCGTCTATATTAAATGTTCCCACTTGGAATGTTTCTAGAAGCTGGAGTCCAAACTGACTCACTGATGAAGCAAACCAGATGCTAATTCAGGCTTCCAAAGGTGAAAGGCTAGTGCAATTGCCCTTTATCATTGTAAATTCAAGATCTTTTCCCTGCTTCACATGCTTGGACAGAGAACCTTCTTTTAAGAGTCTACATCAATAGGTGGGGGAAGGGCTCTCTTTGCTAAGAACTGCATCTCTAGGAGATGCTTCCCCTTTCAAAAATTTAGCACTGCATAAGGGATTCCCACCTCCTCCAAAATTCACATCCTGTTCCAGGAGTTTTAAGAATTCTTACATCCTGCTGAGCTGGGAAAGGGGGCCTACCCACCTTTGAAAATCACAGGCATCTCACTTCTATTCTTAATTCTCCTGCAGTGAATTTAGCTAACAATAACATTTAAAGACAATTTGAAGGATGCTTATGATAGTGCAAATTCATTCAAGATTTGCTTTATTCTATATATAAATATTTGGAAACTAGATCACTAATAGAACATACCACTTAAAGGACCTCGAACCCAACAGTAAGATGTCTCAGAATCTCAATAGGGAATAGGAACACTTGCATCCTTCCACCATTAAGATGCAGAATATCATCCCCTGCCTTTTTAAAAAGGGCAATACCCATCAATACATTTGAAGGTAAGTGACATTTTAGAAGGAAAAAATGGACAGATCCTTTATTATTCCTTTGGGGTGCAATGTAGCCTATACTCGGTTTTGCCTAGTCAACCTCTACACTGCTTTTCTCATCTCTTCAGTGGAGGATGTTATGGCTATAGGTTACTGAAGGCCAAACTCTTCCTAACACTGCCACCAGTTCAAACAGGCTGTAGGATAGGGAACATGTTTTCTATATTCCAAAGTGCAGTCCATGACATACATATTTTATAATCCTGGGATGGATAGCAACTGCTCTAATGATATATGACAATGCACAATGTTAAAGTACCAATTAATCATAGGAACCTAGTTTCTTATTGGCTTCTAACGATCTGTATATGTCAATAAATACCCTTTTTCATTTGTCTTCCAAAATGTACTTCTCCATAATAATTGAAACACCAATCCCACAGCACCCCTTTGGCCATCATGTCTCAACCACTTAATATTTCACATATGTGGTTTCTCTTAGACACTCAGGAAAACAACCTCTGTTACTTGGCAAGAACAGCTTTTCATGTACACTTTAAAGTTTGAAAGAGCATCAGAGGAACCAAAGTTGTTACATCTGCTATAAACAGATGGTAAACCCCTGGTTTAATCACATTGGCCTAAGCCGCTTAGAATCTTGGAGTATGAGCCAGAGCCTCCGGGAGGTCTGCTGGGGAACTGTAACACATGCAAACACACACCCCCACACCCCAGTCCACGTTCCTCAATCTCATCTCATTATTACCCATAATTCTGAAACTCTACAAGAAGCCAGAAGTAAGGTTATTGCCTCAAGTTCATGCACTTTTATCCGTAATGTACAACAGTAACAATGCTCATTATATATTTCTCAGGATATGCACTGGAACAAACATATGAGCAACCATTTCGAGAAAACTCTACAAAACCCTGAAACTGTAATGCTGAATAGAAAGGCAAAACATCCAATGTTCCACAAAAAAAGCTACTAAAAGTGTAAGACCAAGAAGCAAAGCCAGCTTTCTAAATTGTATCAGCATATTAGCAGAATAGTATTTTTTCTGAAACTCAAGTTATTATCATTTTACTGAACCTTAGTAATAGAAAGTAGGTAAACCCATCAATAGGAACTAAGCCATTTGGATGAATTTAAACATGCTGCCATCCTAAGGACTAGTCCAAGCACCGCAGAAAAGCTGAAAAAGTAGAACTGCAGAATCAAGACATTCAGACATATCCTGCTTGATTATCACAAAGCCCGGAGTGTGATTGTCACAAAGCCCTGTGGCCGTGTGTGGCACCTTCACAGCAGGCAGGCGAAACTCTCTTCGCTCCTTCCCATCTTTTCCATGTAGGGATAATGCAAGCAAAACAACAAACTCTTCCAAGCCATCGAACTGAACCAGGGCAAAGAAAGGGGCGGGAAGGAAGAACAGAGATAAAGACTGTTCTTTCATATCAAAACCTCTCTCTCCCCCCTCTCCCCTGCCCGATATCGGAGCTTGGAAAAGAAGGAAGAACAGCGAAATTGGTGGCTTTAAAATTACCCCCCCCCCACACACACACACACGTTTCCTGGCGGATGGTGGGTAAAATGGGGGCGGGGGAGATTGAGATTTAGACACAGGGGCTTGGAGGTAATTCACATGTCTTAATTTAGACTTTACCACACACCTCGGTGGAACTAGGAAGGCTTCCTCTAGTGTAAAGCATACTTATACTGGGAGCAGGGAGGGGGGAGAACCCGGGCGGCCAAGCGCTGGCCCCAGCGACACTCTTCCACATTTTTCAAAAACACTTAAGATAAGCACAAGCTAAACGGTTAAAACAAATGACAAGCAAACCAGAAAAAAAGGCTAGACACAGCTCCATACCTAGGGCGTCATGCAACTTTACTTCCTCCCCCAAACTCCGCGTCCTCCGTTTAACAAAATCGCTGAAAGTACTTGGGAGACCCAACATAACAATATCCGTCTCCGTCTTCAACCGCACCAACTTATGCTTGTTTACTCAGAAGTAAAGCCGCGTAAGACTCGGTGGGGCTCCCTACTCCCAGGTAAGCGTGCACAGCATGGCCAACCCGATTCAGCAGGGGAGGTGTGCAAGCAGCACCTCTTAAAGGACTTTTTTTTAAATCCCCGGGAATGGGAGCTCTGGGCGGAAACGCTCAGCCAACATCTTCCCCTCCGCAGAAACACCATCCTCGAACTTGCAGAACAGAGCGAGCCCCCTTTCAAAGAAGCGAACGGAACAGAGGACATTGGAAGGGGCTGAAAATAATAATCGGGAGGGGCCGCTTCGCGGTCGGTTCCTCCTCCTCACCCCATCGCGCCCCCCTCCAACGGACGGATGGACGGACTGGCGAAGAGCCTCCCTGCTAAGGCGCGGGCAGGAGCGAGAGGATTCTCCCCACACGAGCAGGGCAGGGCGCGAGTTATTGTCCGGCCCCATCCATCCCTTCTCCTCCGGCGGAGGCGGGGCCGGTGGATCGATCGGCCGGTCCCATCGACCGAGGGAGCACGCGGGTCGCCCGCTCGCGCTTTTCTCCTCAGCTCTGCGCCCGCCCCACTCACCTCGATCTCGAAGTCGGGCAGTCGGAAAGCGGTCCTGAACAGCGAGCAGAAGTGAGCGACGGCCGGCACTTCCCACCAGGAGCGCAGCTCGCTCAGGAGGCTCGGAGAGGTCGCCGCCGCTCCGCCGGTGGCCGTCGCCGTTGTCCCCTCCGGACCGCCACTCGCGGCTGAACAAGCAGCGGGAGCAGCCGCCGCCGAGACCGCCACGCCGCCGCAGCCCCCGTCCTCCTCCGGGCACATCGCCCCCGTGCCCGGCGCTCCTCGGAGACCGCCGCTTCGCCGGTGCCGCCGCGCGGTATTCCTCACGACAGACCCTCTTTTCTCTCTCAGCAGCCGCAGCTGCCCCCTCCGCGCCGGCTCCTCCGCATGGGGCTTCTCCGGGCTGGCGCCTCCTCAGCCGCCGCCTCCTGCTCCTCCTCCCTGCTAGCTCGGGGGCTCTTTAGGGCAGGCGGGGGCGGCGCTGCTGTGGGCGGCCGCCGCGCGGACCCATCTTCCACCTTCACCTCAGGCCGCCGCTGCCGCTTGTCCTGTCCGTACAATGTATTTTAGGAGCCGCCACGGACAGCCGGAGAAACAGATGGGGCTACGAAGGGGGAGGGGAGCGGGTGAGAGTGACTGGGGAGTCGAGCGCGCGGGGGCAAGAGGCGGGCTCCGAGAGGAGAAAGAGGTGGGGCTGCGAGGAAGAGGGCGTGGCCTCAAACGGTGCCGTGGGGGGGTCTTAACCCCTCGAGGAGGAGCGTGAGCAAGGGGGTCGTGTGCGCGTTTAGAGCAAACTCAGGAATATTGCGAGCAGCAGGGTCAGGAGTAACCTAGACGGGCAGGAGGAGGAGGAGGAGTCTTGAGAGAACTTTTAAGCCTGCGGGGAAAGGGGCGTGGCCTCGAGAGCGAAAGGGTCGGGTTTCTTGAGAGAGGTTAAAAGGCTCGCGAGCGAGAAGCCGGCGTTGCTCTTCGCGCACGAGGCGTGGGCGTGGCTGCTTTTTATCATAACAACAGAGTTGCTCCGCCTTTTTTCAGCGAACAGCCAATTGGGACTCGTGCAGTGGGCGGGGCGCCGGAGGAAAGCGTTCTCTATGGCTGTGAGAGAAGAACGGGATCCTTCCTTTGTAGGAAAAGAGGGTCGATTGAAGAGGAGGTTCTTTCCTTTTTCTGGGGTTTGGTTATTCTTGCAACGCTGTAGTTAACTAATACTAGTAGCTCGCATCCGCCAACGGTACTCATGGTCCTCAGAGATAAAAGAGAAAAGTAGTTTTTCCGAATTCTTCTCTTTTCAGCGTTTTGAGCATATTTCCGACTTTTCTGGGTAGAAATTTAGCTTACTGGCTTTTTAGCTGTTTTTTTCTGAACTTTCATTAAGAGTTTGCGGAGCGTTTTCTGAAAGATTTTTAGGGACCCCGAGATGTCTGAACTTAGAAATTTTTGGTTCACTGGCCCTGTGCTACTGAATTGTTCATTCTTAAAAATGTGACTTTTTAAACTTGTTTTTGTTAAATTTTGCTTCATATGCTCAAGAAGTGGGAAAGAAAGAATGAAGAAAGACATCGTTTGCGTGTTGCGACAAATTATATGTTCTGGGCTTCGGCAATGGAATCCTGAACTTGTTTCCCTTGGAATAAGCCTCGCTTGTCTCAGTGGAGATTTATTCCCAAATAAGTGTGTCTAGGATTTAAGTCGTAGTGCGGATGAGACTGCTGTGGCGCACAGGTTCTTGCTTAGGCATAATGGTTTTCTATTGGTCAGGGGGCCTTCCTCTCTGCCGACTAGAAAGCGGTGCTGCAAATTCTGTGCCGCCTGATCCTTTGCATGATGAGTACGAAAGTGTCCTAAGAAATTACATGAGACTTACTCCCTAGCAAGTGTTCATAAAATTGAAATGCTTTTGCTGACTCCTGGCAAATGGCACTAGAATAAGCGGTATATAGATTGTAGTTTAGAGTAGGGAAGATTGATGTATGCTTAACTGGGAAAAATGGTTTTTGAAAGTTTTTTTTTTCCTGTTTGCTTCTCAGTTTCATTTTTGTGGGTTCTACTGAATATTTGAGTGATACATTAGAAATAATTTGCATGGAGGCTTGGGGTTTGATGAACTAAACAGATCTAAACAAACCAGTACGAAGTGTTTTAATCTGCTTGTTAAAATGACTTTAAGCACACTTAATGCTTTGTTGCATTATAGCAGTCAATTTTACAAATATGGGGAATAAAATTTCACCTGGATTAATATTTTGATCTATAATTTGAGTTCTGTCTGCTCTGTACAATTGAACCTAAACAATCAGCCTAGTAATATTTCACTTTAAAGCTATTTGTTCTGTAACATGAAGCAGATTGTTGGGGTACATAGACATTAGAAAATTTGAAGAGAATTGGAAGAACTGTATATATAAATGAACTTTGTCCAGTCTGATATATTTATTGTTGCTTAAAATAATTAAAAATTTCTGAATCCAATAGTTTCTAAACCTAGCTACCCCGAGAAAAAAAATTGAAGCAAAATATCAACTTTTTTGAAGCAAACCTTCTCTGTGATCTAATTCAGCAGTACAGTGTACAAATACTTGGTGCAAGAAGACCCCAATGTGGCATATAGACTGGCAGATATTATTATTTGTGATGGATCACAGGTTCCAGGAGGATTGGTCTAGCTCTAGCCTTTATGCAGTAAGAGCTTTACAGTGTTGCTGCAGTCTGTTTATGACTTGACAACTGTTTGACAATTGCACTGTATTTCACTGTTACCAAAATCAAACCCCACAACCCTAGACCTTGTAATACTGTTCAGTTATTTTTAAAATAGTTCCCCCCCAAAAATAAACCCATAACAAGAATAAAACCTGTTTTTAAATGTTAAACTCTGTGATGGGACTGGGCTTAGAAAAGGTTTCTACTGATTTTCCATAATAGCATGTTATAATACTGACGTAAATACTTCTCCCAAATGGAAGCAAAATATCATTGCAACCCAATTCTATAATTTTTTATTTTGTAGTGCCACTGAATTCAGTACAGCATACTTCCAGATAAGTGAACATAAGATGGCAGCTTGAAACTAAACATGTTTACTTGAAAGTGTTGAGTTCTGTGGGCTTAATTCCTTGTAAGTATGCTTAATACTTCAGCTGTAGTCTTTGAACTACCCACACTGTATATCTAATGATGGTTTTAATGGAGTGCTTCAGACTACTCTTCAGTCTTTCACCTGTGTCATGAAGCTTGGTCCTGTGCACATTTCCCTAGTAATAAATAACCAGTGATGTTCAGTGGAGCTTACTGCTAAGTATGCATATAACTGTAGTCTGTAATTCTACATCCAGTGTCTTGGGAAAAAGCTGTATGGAGCTCAGTGGGACTTAAATCAGAGTTGCAACCCAATTCCTCTCCAAATGTGTCACTACCCTCCCTCCAAAAAAAACAAAAAACCCAGCCCAATAAAGGGTTCAGTAACCAAGGAATGTTGATTGTTGATTAGAAAAGAAAAATGGAGGTGGGAGCTAGACAAGTGTGGAGGACAACATGAAGCTGGAATCCTGAACAGAAGCACTCCTGCAATGGAATGAGGAGACACAGCAATCTTGTTTATCTAAGCAACAGTTTATCTTGTTGTAAACCTATTGAAGCCAAGATTACCAAACTTAATATTGTGGAATTAAGCTCTGGAGTGGTAAGGACATGAACTGCTTATTCCAGGAAGTGACTGAACTCAGAGTGTGGAGATATTCAACTCCTACTTACTGAGGCAGCATTTGAGTATATAGTCTTAAATAATGTAAGGAACAAACATCAGCCTCATGAGGAGTCCTGGGGTCAGCCTGAAGATTTCAGAGTGACTTTTGTTAATCTTGAGCTGAGAACTACTATACAAACTATCAACTAGGAAGCATGGGTTTAAATCTCAGTTGAATCACAGGTGGCCTGAGGGAAAATGCAACTTCCAGCTGTTCCACTGCATTCAGGTGTGTTTTGTTTGTTTTGTTTTTGACAGCACATCCTTTGGTGCAGATGCCAGAAAACTTGGTCATTTGAAGACAATATGCATAGAGGAACAAGGGTCAAACCTTTTCTACCATATCACTTCTGTGCTAATTGCATGGGAACCCGGCAACTTAAATTCTCTTAGACCATTGTACTCGATCTATATTTTGTATTTGGACAGTGTGTATAGTTTGAACAGTATCGGGGTATGTCATCTGGTCTGACTGCTTTGCCACTGCATGCCTTCTGTGGTGGTGAAGGTGTGACACAGACAAGCATTCTGACAGAAGTGGTGGCTCCAGCCACAGCCTCACCTGGATCTTGACTTTAGTGTGTTCAGTGTGTTTCCCCAGTGGAAGAAATCAAACTTGTTTCAACTTAGACACAAGGTAGAGGATTGTTCCCCCCCCCCCCCCCCCCCCCCCGGTTCAGTAAGGGTGACTGTCTGTGTTCCTGCTGAAAAGAATTAGGGGTGGGTGAAGAATTTAGTGTGTCATTCCCCTCCCAACTGAGCAATTCAAGAAGTATGGAGACTTCCTCTGTAATTTCCACTTCATGACTGAAGGTAAGAAAGCAATCCCTCTCCTGCAGTCTCTGATAGCTCTTAAGGGCAGGGCTTGGAGGAAGGGCTCAGAAAAGAAACCAAAGCCTCCACAAGCTCCAGGTTCCCCATCCCTACTCTACAGAGATCCATGTGCACATACACAGGTGTGGTCCCATACACCATGGCCTGGGGTTGACTGAAATCCAGAAATACTTCACAGGTACGTACCTCATCTGTAATGCTAATTTTAAAGAAATTGTAGGCCTTTTATACATGCTTCCTTTTTTAATTATAGAAGCAGAGTGTTGGAAGTGCCCTTTACTTCAGGACAATATAGTTGTTCAGAGCAAAACTGAGAGTCAGTGTGGTGTAGTGGTAGGAGTGTTGGATTGAGACTCCACTGAGCCATGGAACTCACTGGGTGATTTTGGCCAGTCACTCTCAACCTAATGTACCTCAGGGTTGTTCTGGGGACAAAATGGGAGGAGAGAAGCCACCTTGGGTTCCTTGGAGTGAACAAACATGGGACACTTAAAACCATCTTCTGTGGTTTATTAAGAATAATGCCAATCTTTGCATGTTTCAGAAAAAGGGTATTCTAGACTTGGTTCATAGGTGGAATGATCTAGGAACAATGATCCTTCTAGTGTTTAAAATCAAATAGTATTTACAAGTGGCTGGACTTCTTGTTTACTCATGCTCATTACGTAAGATTAAACAGCTATGC